CTGAACAGATACCGCTGTGTGACGCAGCTTTTCTGAGCTTGTTTAACTCTGACACTGAAGAAGAGGACTTCGATGGTTTCAGTGCGCTGGAGGACGATGAATGAGATGTTTTGTTGGACCAGAAACTGTTAAAGAAAACTACCAAAATAAGGTCAGTTAAATGAACCGTATTCCTCCGAACTTTAATTCCTAAAGGTTTGCTTTTTATGTTTTGATGATGAATTCACTTTTTTGATGACAATTTTGGGTGTACTGTTTTTTTATGTTGGGGGTGCGGCTTATATGTTTATGTTCGCGGGTTTTTTTTTAAATGGCGGGTGCGGCTTATAGTCCGAAAAATACGGTATGTTCTTTGCAACACACTACATCTTCAGAGCAAAAACTTGTAAACAGGAGCCCTTCAGAAACAGAGTGAGAATATCATCAGGTGTGGTGGGCATGTCTGGATTAGCTGCAGCCATATGAATAACAAAAGGCAACTTATGGCCCTCAGATTGCTAAACAGAAGGAGGGGGTTTGTCCTCAGGATCTTGAAATTTCAGTCACTTCAGTGCTGAACAAGCCGAAAGCGAGTTATTTTGAATTTATTTTAAAAACCACACCTCCAGGTCCAGATGTTCAGAGAGAGCCAGCAGGTCGCTGTGATAGGCACATCCATCCCACTCGATAGCTAACTCCTGACACGCTTCACGCAGTCGCTCCTCTAACCTCCCCGACTGAGAAACCAGGGATCCCCGGGGGGTGCTTGGCTCATCGGGGTTCCACAGGTGCATCTGACCTGAACACAGGGGGCAGATTAATGCATTAATGCAGATTAACCCATTAATGCATTAATGCAGATTAACCCATTGTTGGTTAAAGAAATCTGTGAAAACACTGAACTGTGACAAACCTTCTGCCTCATATTCCTCTGAGCTCGTTTCATGGACATTCCAGCGCTGTAGAAATAAAGACATTTATTTGAAAAACAGAACATTTCTGCAAACATTATGAAGAGTGTTAGATTTATACAAAATTATGATATACTTTTAGGCAGCAGCTTTAAGCTCAGAGAACATGATGTCACTCCTGGACTGTCGAGGTAATGAGAGGCAGACAAAGCCTCAAAGAAATTCCTGTTTTTTTATTACAGAAAAGAGCTGTGAGAATTATTACTGGAAAACATTGTCATCACCCATCAAATTCATTATTTTGTAAATTGAAAATATTGAAGTTCTTTGATTTGGTTGATTAAAATATTCTACTGGTTATGTTTAAGGCCCACAAAACACATTACCTTTAAACATCCAAGTAAATTTTATTAAGAGAAAGAGTTGTTATAACCTTAAAGGGACAGAGATGTTTGTAAAACCCAAATTCAGAACTAGTTTGAAGGAACGGTGTACTTTAATTCAAGGAATGAAACAATGGAATAGTTTGGGGAGTGATGTAGGATCATTATGTTCATTTAAGAAAATTATAAAAGTTGGATTGTTAAAGAAATACGAAACACTATAATGTGTATGTATATAGATTGTTGTTCTCGAGCAGTGGTCCCCAAACTACGGCCTCCCCATTTGGTCCGGCCCCAGAACAATACCAGAGAGCATTTAGGTTTTTTTTTTCCATATACAGTATGTGTATTTATATTTGATTATAAAGTTGGACTTTTGCAATAAAATGTTCCTTAGTTATGAACTATTTTCATT